TGTGTCACGCACACACACACACACACACACACACACACACACACACACACACACACACACACACACACACACACACACACACACACGCACACACACACACGCACACGCACGCACGCACGCACGCACACACACACGCACACACACGCACACACGCGTACTAGCGGTCTTGTGGGCCGATCACACGCCGAGAGTCACACGACGCTTTCTACTGATGCCGCACTTCACTCGCTCGCATGCCAACGTTTGTTCCATCAAGACTTTTCACCCGACACCAACCACCACCATACACACAATCAACCGACATCACATACCACCAATCACACCACCCATCACACCACCACCAATCACACCACCACACCACCACCTATCTCATCACCAATCACACCGCCAATCACATCACACACCAGAGCTTGACCTGAACGATCCGAGCGCGTACTTCAACGAACCGCCAGTGGCCGGACTCGGCATGGCACCGCCCGCAGCCGCTGGCGCTGGTGATGGCGATGGTAACGACGCGAACAGCAACAACAGCGGTGGTGGTGGTGGTGCACAGCAGGGGAAGCAAGGTGAGCAGGAAGGTGGACAGCAACAGCAACAGCAACAGCAGCCGCAGCAAGGTGGTGTTGGGTCGAACACTGGCTCAGCAGTCGGCACACCGCGCACCATCAACGTGGTGACGGCCGTATCCAAGTTCAAATGGGACGACGACGACGATGACGACAACGTCGGCGGCGGCAGCGGTGGTTATGGTGATGACGACTACGACGATGGGTTTGGTGATGGCGGTGCCACGCCCCCGGGAACACCGCCCTGCATGCGCGATGAACAGGACGACGACGCAGAGCTGCTGCGATCCATGACGGAATCGGTGTTTGCGGATTTGAGTCGACGGGAGGAGGAGACCGCCGCTGGCGTCTGGTCGGGCACCGTATCCATGCCAGGTCTGCACCCAAGCTGGATGGGTTGTGTTGGGAAGGGGATAGGTGGTGTTGTGACTGTAGACGTGTTGTGTTTGACTCTGTGTGTGTGTGTGTGTGTGTGACTCTGTGTGTGTGTGTGTATGGGTGTGTGGGTGTGTGTTGTGTGTGTGTGTGTGTGTGTGTGTGTGTGTGTGTGACTCTGTGGGTTTGTGGGTGTGTGGGTGTGTGTCCCTACGTGGCTCTGCTCTTGCTTGCCCAGGTTCACTCACACCCGGCTGGACATTTCTTCCATTTCTGTCCCTCTCCACCCCTTCCATGAACACACCACCGTCCATGCAGAGGTTGCCTCTGTGCAGATGCGCGGCCAGCTGTGCTTTGGGCCGTCTGCTGATCTCGCCAATGTCCTCGGATCGCACATCAAGCAGGCAGGCCGCATCAGACCAGCCCAGGTGTGTGTGTGTGTGTATGTGTGTATGTGTGTGTATGTGTATGTGTGTGTGTGCGTACTTCTCGGCGTGTCTGATTCCGACTGTATCCAACGCACGCACACACGTCTACTGTACACACTCACACCCCCCGGCCCGTGCAGGTGTGGTCGTACATTGGGAAGTTGCGCAAGACGGCGTCCAAGACGTACTATCTCGTTGCTCTCACGCCGGAGACGGATGACGACGAGATGCCATTTGTCACGCTCTTCGAGTACTTCCGAAGGTGAGACAGTGGTGATGGTGATGATGATGGTGGCGATGGTGTGATTGTGGTCGTGTCACGTCGCGAATGGTGGTGGCGTTGACGGGAGTGCCCGGGAGTTTCGTTTCATGATGGTGGTGGCATTGACGGGAGTGCCCGGGAGTTTCGTTTCATGATGGTGGTGGCGTTGACGGGAGTGCCCGGGAGTTTCGTTTCATGATGGTGGTGGCGTTGACGGGAGTGCCCGGGAGTTTCGTTTCATGATGGTGGTGGCGTTGACGGGAGTGCCCGGGAGTTTCGTTTCATGATGGTGGTGGCGTTGACGTGAGTGCCCGGGAGTTTCGTTTCATGATGGTGGTGACGTTGACGTGAGTGCCCGGGAGTTTCGTTTCATGATGGTGGTGGCGTTGACGTGAGTGCCCGGGAGTTTCGTTTCATGATGGTGGTGGCGTTGACGTGAGTGCCCGGGAGTTTCGTTTCATGATGGTGGTGGCGTTGACGTGAGTGCCCGGGAGTTTCGTTTCATGATGGTGGTGACGTTGACGGGAGTGCCCGGGAGTTTCGTTTCATGATGTTCATACATGGGACCACGACGTGGCCACCACCACAACCATCACCAACTTCCTTCCTTCCTTCCTTGCCCTCAGCCGGGACCGGCTCGGCGTGTGTGGGGAGGTGCAGCCCTCAATCAAGGACGCGTATCTTCTCCCCATGAAGAAGGGCGAGCAGCTGCCGGCGGAACTGCAGAAGCTCAGGCTCAAGCAAACACGTACGTCCGTGTCTGTATGTGTGTCTGTGTCTGTCTGTGTGTGTCTGTCTGTCTGCCGGTCCTGCCGGTCCTGCTGTGTCTGTGTGTGACGTTGCCACTGCGCTGCACCTCCCACACTCAAACACACTCCAACACACTCCAACACATCCCCACACACTCCATGTCACCACCATCCCCCCGCCCATTCCCTTTTTCATCTGCCCGCGTGTTCGTGTTCAGATGCGCTGCCGGATGCAGATCACCTCCTGGCCGTGATCATCTCGAACGAGCGGTCGTCGTCGTCGTCATCCACTCGTCGCCGTTCCCACCACTCATCCGCATCGCATCACCACCGCCGCCACCGCCACCATCATCATCGCAAGGGGAGCCGGGGCAGTGCGACGCACACGCCGACAGAGACAGACACACACCAAGCGCAGCAGGAGCCAGTGGAAGAGTACACGCCAGGACAAATCCTGCTGTGACGCAGCATGGCGTGTGTGTGTGTGTGTGTGTGTGTGTGTGTGTGTGTGCGTGTGTGTGTGTGTGTGTGTGTGTGTGTGTGTGTGTGTGCATGTGCGTGTGTGTATTATGATGATGCTGAGGCTTTGTGTAAGTTGGGCCCATGAGGTGGCATTTTGTTGTTAACGGTCTTTGCCCTCTTCCCCTCTCTCTATTCGTTGACTGCGCTGATGTGTGCTTGTCGCGCTGTGATGATGACAATAACAAGCAATCGATACAATACATGTAATGCTCCCTGCTGTTTACTTGGCAGCACAGAAGCAACAGCCACTCATGCGGTGTACACAAAACAGAGCGACACCACAATACAACTCACTTCACACTGCACGCCACAATTGTCGCCATGCACATGAACACATGCCACTTGCTCATGGCAACGACACAACGCTGCACAACAAAACCGAAGCGTACACGCGACAACAATAACCACCACAGACACCACGAACACAGCACGCACACACACACACAGCCATCAGACATCGCCATGTCATTCCTTCAGCCATCATCATCCATCCCATCACGAGCGTGAGCATCACAACTATCAGCCATCACAGCCGTCACCATCTCAACTGTGCAGCCATCAACCGTCACAATGTCATCATCATGCAATCTGTGCAGCCATCACGGTGCCGCCTAGCGCCTGCGCGGAGAGCGTGAGCGCGATCGCGACGATGCGGATGACGATGACGATGATGAGCCACGACGGCGGCGCGGTGGCGAGCGACGCGGTGGTGTGCGGCGTGGTGGTGTGCGACGAGAGGAGGAGTAGCGTGGTGGTGAGCGCCTGTCATACACACACACAAACACACACACACACACACGTGCAGCACAAGCGTGACAGCCGCCGTCATCGTGGTGGCAAGGAAGAGATCAGTGGGATGTGAGCGACTGCCATGCGCATGTGTGCATATGGGTACGTGTGTGCATGTGTGTATCTGTGCATATGCGTATGTGTGTGCATGTGTGTACATGTGTGCATGTGTGCATGTGTGTGCATGTGTGCATGTGTGCATGTGTGGTCGTACCTGCGTGGCGGGGTGCGGCGGCGGCGCATGAACGGCGATCGCGATCGCGACCGGAACCGCCGGCGCGGCCGTCCAATCGGTCCTGATGATGGTGATGGTCATGATGGTCATGATGACGATGATGATGATGATGATGATGGTGATGGTGATGGTGATGATGGTCATGATGGTGACGATGATGGTGATGATGGTCATGGTCATGATGGTGACGATGATGGTGATGATGATGGTGATGTGATGGGCGAGGGCGTTGTACAGGTTGTGAGCGGTGACCGTGGGCTATTGGGCTTTTGGCAGCGCAGCGCATGTGCAATTCCCCCCCCCCTCACACACACAGCCCGTCTTCGTCTCACCTCGACGCTCTCTGCGTTGCATCAGCCTGTTCATGGAATGGATGCAAACAGCAAAATGAATTCGAGTAAACACAAACACAAACACACACACGCACACGTCGCGCACGCACGCGCGCACGCACGCAAACACACACGTCTAGCCCACCACCAAACACACGAACACACCAGCACCAGCACCACAGCACCACAACGGCCAACGTCACCTGTTGATGTTGACGTGTTCGACCTCGATGGTCTGGCCATCAATCTGCCCGCCGTCCATGTGCTCCAGGGCCTTGTCAGCATCCTCCGGCACATCATACTCAACATACGCAAAGTGGCGCGAACCCCCGCCCCGGTTCTGGCGCAGATGGTGACGGGAGAGAGGGAGAGAGGGAAGCGGTGGTGGGAACATGAGGAGAGCGGAGAGTGGATGACGGGAGATGGCCGGATGTGTGGGAGGCGTGCAGCCCTCGGTCACTCCCTCGCATCCTCTCCACCTCCACCCCGGGCCTTCTTCTTAACGCGAGCAATATTGTACCGTTGGCATGTCGATGTTGACGACACGGCCGTAGAGGGAGAAGATCTCCTTGAGGTGCTCTGAGTTCACGTTGCCTGTGAGCTTGCCCACATACAGCTTCCGCTTCGCCTGTGGATGCGGCGGCAATCACACCCGATCGCGAGACTTGTGAGACATGCAAGGACAGCACAAACACGTTTTGTGTTCAAGCGCAGCATGGGCAAGTTCGCAAAGCACTGGCACAAGGCAGCAACAGCGCGGCGGCTACAAGCACGCATCCTCAACGAGCAGGAGGTGGGGCACGTGTCCAACACCGACCTCTTCGGCAACGCGGGGCGGCGTGCGCGACCGCGAGCGGGAGCGGGAGATGGAGCGAGATGGGGAGCGAGAGCGGGATGTGGAGCGGGAGTACGAGCGACGGCGGCGATTGGCGTAGCTGTCGCGGCGGCCTCGGCGCGGTGACCTGGAGATGGACCTGCGCCCACGCCTCACCGGGCTCCTGTATCGTCCATGCAACGAACGACACGTGTTGCGCGTGCATGCATAAGACAGGCAGTAGCAGGTGAACAACCAGCCAGCATTTGCAGTTTGGTGGGGCTTCCGATGCGCACACGCCAAAGTGTTGATGCGTATTCAACAAACAGAGCACACACACACACACACACACACACACACACACACACACACACACACACACACACACACAACACACACAACACACACAACACACACAACACACACAACACACAACACACACAACACACACAACACACACAACACACACACAACAAGCACAGCAAACCCCAACATCACAAAGACAGTACACACCTTGACCTGGACCTGGAGTAGCTGCGCCTGCCCACTGGCGAGCGGCTGCGAGAACGACCTCGAGGCCTTACAACAACATGACAAGAGGGAGGGTCAATGGTTGGCGGCGTGAGCCAGCAAGCAAACCAAACAAGCAAACCAGGTGGCTTAACGAGCACGCCAAATGAAGCCAAGACCAACCCACACCGACGCCCGGAGCCACTGACACCCATCATCGCACACACAAGCCGCACGAACAGCGGCAGTGCGGTCGTCACTGTTCCATCGTCAAACCCACATCTTCGCTGTTGTCTGTGGGCGGCTGCGAGTGAGGAAAAGTAGTTAAAAATATCGCTAGATTTCGCATTTGGAATTCGTTTTTCGGCAAGCGAGTGAAGGTTTGTTTGGTTGTGAGGTGTGTGTGTGTGTGTGTGTCTGTGTGTGTGTGTGTGTCTGTGTATATGTGTGTGTCTGTGTGTGTGTGTCTGTGTGTCTGTGTGTCTGTCTGCCTGTTGCATGTCCACGAGATGTCTTTGTGTAGTATTGTGTTGCTCCTCGTGAAGCAGGAAGCAGTGTCATCAACTGCACTCACGCTTCACCACGCCTGTCTCCGCACCACACACAGGGACGATACTGACAGACAGGAACACACACACACACACACACACACACACACACACACACACACACACAAGCACACACACAAGCACACACATACACACACAAGCACACACACAAGCACACACACACACAAACAGAGAAGAGGATGGCTGCGCTGAGGGTTGCGCAATGGTCCGATACGCTGGATCGTGCATGTGGGTTTGACTCGTGGGGCCAGGTCCTCGAGGCCTGCAACGAATACGAGAAGGTGCGATGCATGGAATACCTTGGGTTGTGAACCAAGGGCTTGATGGGTAGTGTGCTGCTTGCGAGCGGTTCAGCGGCAGCGGCACAAACAGCAGATGCAACAGCAGATGTATCGACCACGCTGTCCCGATACAACTGCGCGCACCTGCGTTAGAGCTCACAGATTGATGCTTCTCACTTTCTTTCCCCTTTTGCGTGCCATGTCATGTGTACAGGTGACGTCGGACATCAAGAAAGCGCTCACATCACAGGACATGCCCTTCAACGAAGGGCAAGCCAAGTTCCTCAACAAGACCGCCGTGGCTGCCAGCCTCCGCGCCAAGGCAGCACAGGACCTCAGCGGTGTGTAAACGTGTGTCCGTGTCTGTTTGTCTGTGAACGTGTGTCTTTGTACGTGTGTGTCTGTGTGCATGTGTGTGCATCTCCGTGTATCTGTCTGTCTGTCCTTGCTCCTGTGCTTGTCTGTGAACGAGCTCTCTGTTGCACCAACACGTACATGGACGTTACAAACCTCCGAGATAACAGCAGGCTGCCCTGCTCACTCACTCACACACTTACACACACACACACACACACACATCACCATCATCCCCTATGCACACCTCTGCAACCCCCCCCCCCCTTCCCGCCACCTGCCACACGCGCGTCTGCACACAGGTGCGCCGACGGGCATCACGCTGCCCCAGATGAAGCAGGTGGTGAGTCTGCTCAAGGAGCTCCCCGACTCTGTGCCGCTCTTCCCGCTGAAGGAAGTCTCTGAACTCAAGCACCTCATCCCAGAGCCAAGGTGCCGTGTGTGTGTGTGTGTGTCTGTCTGTCTGTCTGTCTGTCTGGCTGTCTGTCTGTCTGTCTGTCTGTCTGTGTCTGTCTGTGTCTGTCTGTCTGTGTCTGTCTGTCTGTATGTGTGTGTGTCTATGTGTGTAGGTATGAGCGGTTCAAACTTGCCCGCACGCTTCGCATCACCTTTGCCTCACAATGTCACGCCATTTCATCACCACCACTGCCGTCACCATCGTGTGTGAGCAGCAAGACGAGTGCCGCTGCGGATGTGATTCACGACGACGAGGACGAGGACGAGGAGGGGCCAGCAGGTGACGATCACGTGTTGGTGTTATCGTTTGTGATGTTGTCGCCGACCTCCTGCGCACAGTGCCTCGCACACACACACACATGCACACATGCACATTAACTCACGCACACACACATGTACACATGCGCACATGCACATTAACTCACTCGCTCACTCACACACTCACTCACTAACTCACTCACTCACTCATACATCACACCACACCACACGCATCACCGTCATCACCACCACCACCACCATGGCATGGCATGGCACATCACCAGAGCTGGTGAAGGGCGGCTCGCTGCTGCCGCGGCGGTCGTTCCCCGGGAAGACGAACATCACCATCCGCATCGACAAGATCAAGCTCAAGGACCCCTCCCAGTACATCGAGCCATTCTTCACCGTCTCCATCAAGGGTCTGTGTGTCTGTGTGCGAGCGTGTATGTCTGTCTGTCTGTCTGCCTGTCTGTGTGTGTGCGTGTGTGTGTATGTCTGTCTGTCTGTCTGTCTGCCTGCCTGCCTGCCTGCCTTTCTGTCTGTCTGCCTGTCTATGTGAACCCACCACGCATTTACCTCACACACCATCTTCACCATCCATACCGCCGCCGCCGCCGTGGGCTGCAGATACGAATGGAAAGGACTTGGCGGAATCGCAGGACACGCCGCCGACCAACAGGCGCGACGACTTTATCCACTTCTACACCGTACGCACATGCACACGCACACTCTCATGCGAACACACGCGGACGCATGACCGCACACGCACCGACATGAACCCTCATGTGAACACATACACACTAACACATGTGTACGTACACATAAACGTGCATGATGAGCAGTTTGGTTGCCGTGTGCGCTCACACATGTACTGCTGCTGTTGTGTTGTTGCGCCTGCAGACGGTTGAGATGCCAATGGCGTACGAGGACATGCCAGAAGGTGGAAACACACACACACTCGTGTGCACTTGCATGCGCTCGCTCCCGCTCTTCCACGCACGCACACGCACACACACACACACACATGCAAACACACACACACACACATGCAAACACACAAACACACATATACACACACACTCACTCACACACACACACACACACACTCACTCACTGATTCGCCGCCCGTGTTCGTGTCAGATTGCGCAATCTTCCTTGAGTTCAAGCACTACAAACCGAAGAAGCACAAGAACAGCGTGAAATGTTTCTGTATTCTGGAGAAGGACGAGTTGAAGAACGGCTCCTTCCCGCTCGAAATGTACGAGCTGTGCAATCTGCAGTTACCTGGCAGGGCATATTGCGTGGCGTTGTTGTTCTTGTTCTTTGTCCTTGGTGTTGTTTGTTCTTCGTCGTTGTTCTTGTTGTCCTCGATGTTCTTGTTTGTCTTCGTGTAGATGCCTCGTGGGCCCGCTCCAGTTGTGCTTGTTTCCTCTCCACCACCTCACTTACTCACGCACTCACTCACCTTCCTTATCACACAGCTATGCGAAACCAACGGATTTCCGTCGGCGGAAGCTGCACCTCTTGACGGAGAAACCGCACTACCTCTTCGTCACCGTCTCCCTCTCCGCAGAGCCGTGATTGCATGAACACACGCACGCACACGTACACAGTGTGCGCGTGTGTGCTGTTCGTTTGGTGGTTTCCCTCTTGTGTTGTGGAATGTGTCGATCTCTGTGTATGTCCGTGCGCATGTGACTCACTGCAAGCGTGCGCGGACGTGTTCCTGTTGTTTCTGTCTATCTGCCCTTTATGTGCTCCTCCGGTGGTTTTGTTCTTGTGCTGTTGTTGTGATGTGTTGTGTCCCCAACTCCCGTGCAGCTGCTGTCAAATACAGCGTTACACCCTGCCATCATCATCATCATCATCATCATCATCGTCATCATCATCATCATCATCATCGTCATCATCATCATCATCATCATCATCATCATCATCATCATCACCATCAGCATCATCCAAAGGCTGTTTCAACTCCCAATGTGTGTTTACTGTCTGTAATGGAGCTGTGACAACAATGCAAGCCTGATAGCAAACGAAACGAAACGAAGCAAAATCAAAGGAAAGGCAGAGAAGGAACGAACACAAAGTGTCGTCACATGACGTGACGCAACGCACACGTGCTAAATTATGTATCAGGTCAACAACGCTCATCATCACCACCTCCTCACGCAAAAGCACATGCACGCCTCCCTCTGCACACATCGCCCCACACACGCTCCTATCTAACACGTGCACAACCTGAGTGCATGCACACGTGCGTCAGCAGGAACACTGATGCCCACTCCCACCTCCACTAATAGCTATCATAGTCAGTCACTGTCACTTGCTGATTGGTTATGTTTGCACCACCATTCATCACCACCACTCACCAATCACCATCCACCATCCACCACTCACCATCCACCGATCACCAATCACCAATCACATGCTCCATGTCCACATGCTCATCTGTCACCGGTCACAGGCTCCATGTCCACAACCTCAAACAGCCACCACTCACCACGCACCAATTGCCACTCAATCAGCCACCAATTACCAATCGCCACGCAATCCCTCGCCCACTCCACCACTCACCACTCACCAAGCACCAACTGTCACTCGCCAGTCGCCACTCGCCTCACGTGTACTTGTGCATGACGTATCGAATCTTCTCCAGGAAGGCAAACGTCAGCACGTAGTGGGGCCCTGCGCGGATGTAGTGGGACCAAAACCCCTTGTAGAACGCGGTGGGCCCCTCAATGCGAAGCACCTTCACAAACGCGTCCCACGCGGACGTGTACAGTGTGCGCGACGCCTGCTGGTTATACAGCCGGCTCCGCAGCACGTCGACAGGGTTGTTGGCCACGCACGTGCAGAACGCTGCCAGCATTGCCGATGTCACATGCACCACGGTCCCGTCCTTCAGCCCGCGCTGCTGCAACAGGTACTCCTTCACCACCGTGTATGCAGGCAGGTTGGTGCCGGTTGCCAGCGCGCTTCTGAAGGCGCTGACGTGGCTTCCGCGCCATAGCCGTGCCACCCCGCCCTCCTTCATGAGCGCGCGCACCTCGGTGATGGGGCCGTGGTTGGCGGACAGGCCAATGAGGTCACGTGCCTGCATGCGCGTCTTGAGGAGGTCAAGTGGGTTGCATGTGTACGAGGCGAGGATGCCGCTCGCAGCGCCGGCGACAATGCGTGTGGGGATGGTGGCCTTGTCTGCGCCTTGTAGCTTCTTCAGGCCATCTAGGATTGGCTCGTATGCGCCGATTCGAAAAATGTTCTTGGTGCCTTCCCTCGCAATGGCTGCCGAAAGTCCCGCTTGCAAGCCTGCGTTGGAGAGGAAAGGGGGGGGGGATGAAGAGATAGGCATGCGGTGGAATTTGGGCACAGGAGGTAACGTGGGGAACATATGTGGTGAGAACGATACAAGACACACGGGGGATCTCGTACAGTGGGGATGGGATGTACATGTGTGTATGCATGCACACTTGCACACGAACAGCACATACAATGCTCGTGCACGGCACCATAATCCACACATAGTATGCACGGCACGCACACACAACACGCGCACACCTGAGATGCCGCCCTTTGTGTACACGTTCCTGAAGACGGTTGCGAGGGACGGCCGTGCGCGCGTCTGCGACAGCTCGCCGTGCATCTGCTGGTGTACCTTTGCCACTTCAAACGGGTTTGTGAACAGCACAGCTGTTGCGGGTCCCAGGGATGACGCCACAAACCCCTTCCAATACGGCAGATCGTACGAGCCAACCATAGCGGTGGTGTCTGTCTGTATGCTATCGCGTGGAAGCGTTTGTGGGAAAGTATGTGTGTGTCGGCGGTGCTGTGTTGTGATGTGATGCGTGTCTGAGGAGTGCGCTGACGCTGATGATGATGATGGTGATGCTGATGGTGATGATGTGAGTGTAAGGTTCCACAACGTGCCTGCCAAAGCAACGTGGTTCCTGAAAAGTGTCTATGATACCCATCACTTTTCGGAGGCAGAGGAGGCGCTTGTTGTTGGTATTGGTTGGTATTTGCACACACACACACACACACACACACACACACACACACACACACACACACACACACGCACGCACGCACACACACACACACACGCACACACACACACACACACAACAAACACACACACACACACACACACACACACACACACACACACACACACACACACACACACACACACACACACACATAAACAGATGTTATGAGCCTGTGTCTGGGTGGAGGAAGCGGTTTGGATAGAAGCGCAGGCCTTCCACCGCATCATCACGGCACAGGGCGCCCTCCGCCTCCGCAAGCAGCAGCTGCTCCGCCGCCAGCACGACGCTGATGTTGTTGCGGGTGGCCAGGCGGCTCGCCGTGAGAAACCCGTCAGCGCTCGCCATCTCCTTCACCTCTGCAACCAGCTGCTCATCGGAGCGCGTGGCAAGCTCCACCACAAGCACGCCGCTCTTGAACGCTCGTAACCGCACGGGCAGGGCCAGCGCCTCCATGGCCTCGCACGCCTTGAGCACATCTTGCGGCGACACGAGGTCAATGCCCCGCACCCTGTTTGCAACACAGAACGCATCGGCAAGCAGCAGCATCCCGCCACGCGTCTGCATTGTGGAGGAGTGACACAGACAGAGAGAGACAGACAGACAGAGAGAGAGAGAGAGGTGGGGGAGGAATGGACACAATGGGGTGGCGTAAAGGTGATGCACGATGGTGAGCTGGTGTGTGTATGTCTGTCTGTCTGTATGTGGAAGTGTGTGTTTGTATGTGCGTGTTTGTCTGTGTGTGTCTGTGTGTGTGTGTGTCTGTCTGTGTGTGTGTGTGTGTCTGTCTGTCTGTCTGTCTTTGTCCCTGTGTCTGTGTCCCTGTGTCTGTGTGTCTGTGTGTCAACACAGAACATGAGCCGGCATAGTACAACATAAACGCCCACCACTCACACCACACATCGCCACCACGCACCGCCTTGAGTGCGGCTTCATATACGGTGGCCAGCTCCCGCGCAAGCTCTTGGTGGTAGCGCTGTAGGTGTGAATTGAAGTGATGCGTTGGCGCGGGTTGAATGAGGAGTCGTGCGGTTTGAAAGACAAATGAAAAGGGGAGGGAAAAGGGAGAGGTGTGGAAGGAATGGGGGGGGGGAGGCAAGAGTTGAGGAGGGTGGAACAGCAGTTGTTGGAGATCAAGGCGGTGTAAACGCGCACGGCATCTGCTGTGCCTTGAGTAACAATGTCATACACACACACACACACACACACACACACACACACACACACACACGCACCGTTGCTGACTTGAACTGCTTCTTTGTGATGGGATTGGCAATGCCTAGTTGCAGGATGACGTTCTGCAATGCGCGTTGATCCTCATCACCACCGCCATCATCACCATTGCCATCGCCACCGCTTGATGCGGCCAACGTCTGCGTGTACCGTTCTGCCAACTCCACAAGCTGCTTCGCCTTTGCCTCCAGCACTTTCATATTGTGTGTGTGTGTGTGTGTGTGTGTGTGTGTGTGTGTGTGTGTGTGTGTGTGTGTGTGTGCAGCGAAACAGTCAGCGGCGGTGCATGGGATCCCTGCAACAATAGACAGTCATAGCGGTCTACCCCCCCCCCCCCCTCAAACACACACGAGAAGGCAAAAGCAGAGGGGTGACAGCACACCTTTCAAGTCTCCGCTGAACGCGTCCTTGATGGAGCGCTCTGCGGCTTCTAATCGTTGCTTATCTCGCTGAAGAATCCCCGCGATGCCAACTACACGCACACGTGTACACATTCAAGTCCTCAATGAGCTGATGGCTGCAAGCAAAGCGACACACACACACACACACACACACACACACACACACACACACACACACATACACACACACACACACGTACCAGCGCGCTGCTCCTGGTGTGGTTGGGTTTGCGCCTGTGACCTCGATGGCTGTTGTTGGTGCTGTGTGTGTCCTGGCTGTTGCTGCTGTGTATGTCCTCCTGACTGTGGGTGCTGTGCCGGCGGGTCCAAGGGCACGGGCAGGGCACGCCACGTCTTGGCGTGCAGGACGTTTGTGAGCAGCTGCCGGAACTGGCGCACCTCGGACGAGCTGCTCTGACGGAAGGAGAGGAGCACAAAGTGCCGCTCCGACATTCCGGGTGCGCTGTAGCTGGCAGGGCCGTGCCCGTTTGGATTGGAGAAGAGCAGCAGCTTCACCTTGGGGCTGCGGGTGAAGAAGCGTTCGATGAACTCCGTGTGTGAGATGAGCGAGAGTGGCATGTACAGCCATCTGCTGCCGTGCTTGCCCTCGCGGTCCTCCCACACCAGCCGGTGCGAGGTGAGCGTGAGAAGGCCGTCATCGCAGTCTGTGGTGTCGTCGCCGTTGTACAGCCGCAACCCCGTGTATTGCGGCTGCATCACTTGCTCGTTCGCATGCGGTACAAACCGCCCTGCCCCATCACCGTCCACCACAATCCACCTGTCCATCGCCGTTGCTTGCTGTTGTTGTTGGTGATGTTTGTGTTTGTGGTGTGTTTACGATTACGATTGTTCCTTGCAACCTGTCCCACCTCCCCTTGTTCCACCCTTGTCTTCGCGTTGGACAACAGCAGTGGTCTTTTATGACACTACACACACACACACACACACACACACACACACACACACACACACACACACACACACACACACACACACACACACACACACACACACACACACACACAGCCACACACAGCCACAGCCACACGTAACACACACAGCCTGGGTGCATCTCATGTAACACAATAGCATGCATGCAGCACGATCCCTCCTTCCTCAGTCAATCATCAACTACCATGATCGCCCATCATCAAACGAGAACTGCCTCGGGTCGCTCGTGTTGTGCGCTCACCGCAGACTCACTGCCCGCCTCCCCCACACGCTTCGAAGCACCATCATCATCACTGTTGCCGCCGGCGCGAGCCAGGATCCACTCCACCATATCTGCGCGCACAACATCGTCGCCGCCATCTGGTTCCGCCAGCAGCGCGTGGTAGTAACCGTCGTACACCTTGATCGTCTTGTCCGTGGCGGACGCGCGCGTGTGCAGCTCGCGGCTGATGTTGAGGTCGGTGACCGTGTCTGCGCCACCGTGCATGACAAGGAACGGCACCGTGTACTCGTCCAGGCCCTGCTGCACGTCCAGGGTTGCCTCGCGCATCTCCCACGCCGTGCGCAGGCGCGGGCGCTTGTGCCACACGAGCGTGTCTGCAAGGGCCTCCTCCAGCTTCTTCGGGTCCTTGAACACGCGGTTGAGCACTGGTTCGATGGGCGTGATGGCCGCAATCGGCATCATGGCCATGAGCACGCGCAGCGCGTTGATCTGCCACTGCGGGATCATCATGTCGGGAGAGATGGCGCACATGGGCGCGACATACATGCAGCCGGCCACCTTGCCGTCGAGGGGGCCACCGGGGCGTGAGGCGAGCAGCACCACAGCACCGCCCATGGACTCCCCGGACATGAACACGGGCACGTCGTCGCCGAGGCCAAGGTGCTCCACAATGAACGTGTGGAAGTCTGCCAGGTCCTCCACCAGGTGCTCGTACCGCCGCACGTGCACCCACCGCCCGTCGCTGTAGCCGTGGCCGTGGAAGCTGAACCCGGCCACGGCGATGCCGCTGGACGTGAAGCGGGAGGGCTCCGTCTGCTCAATGCACGCCTCAATGTGGTGGCCAAAGCCATGCACGACGATGAGCAGCGCTCGCGGCGGCCGTGCGGCGGCGTCGTCAACGTTGTGTGTCACGTAGTGCAGCCGTTGGCCGCGCCGGTTCACAAAGTGCGGGCGATCCCCAAGTGCTCGTTGTGGGCGAGGCATCGTGTCAATTATCAACGGTGGGCGGGGGGAGGGGGACAGAGACAGAAGGACAGAGACAGAGAGAGAGAGAGAAGGGGAGTGGCAGAGGGTGATGAAGACAGGCGATTGATACGAGAGGTGACCGCAGGAGGGTTGCACGGTTCTCTTCCTTGCGATGTTGTTGCTGGTCAGTCGGTGGTGCTCGGTTGGATAAATGAACAACCTGTAGTGAGCTGAGCGCCTCACTGCTTGCACTGCTTGCGCTGCTTGCACTGCTTGCACTGCTTGCACTGCTTGCGCGCTTCACGACGACGCGAGTGGGCGTGTGTGTGTGTGGTGGGTGGCAACCAAACTTGCAAAGCCAGGGAGGCTTTGTGTGCTTGTGTGTGTGTTTGTGTGTTTGTGTGTATTTTTGGGGGAGGTTGGGAGAAATTGTGCTGACATGATGTGACATCAGCACATTCAGGAAGGACCTCACTGGAAGTCCTCTCTGTTCTTCCTTCTGTTGTTGCTAGGTTGCTGTGCTGTTGCCTCTTGAACTGCGTGCAGTGCTGTGTTGTTGCTGTTTGGCACCAAGACAAGGAGATGAAGACGAAGAGGCAACGGGATTCAAGCTTCAAAGGCAAGGAAGAAGAGAACACAGGCAAGAAGCAATACAAGAATTGATAGGATTGCACCACAAGCACACACGCAAACACAAACACAAACACGCACACAAACACACGCGCGCACACGCACACAAACACAAACACACATGTCACTTCTTGATAAAGCAGGCGATGGTGTTGCCGGCAGGAGTGTCGTTGGGAGGCCTTCGTGCGGTGGAGCGAACACGGAAAATGTGCACGTCGTTGCGCGCCACGAGGTTGCCAAGCACAACATGACACGGACCAAGCTCCCGCGGCACACACGTGTCTGGGTTCATCACCGTCAGGCGGTGCACGTTGTTGAGCGTAAACTCCCCGTCGCTCGGCAGCGTGCCCGCCACAAGACACGACCCAACGTTGGTCAGTGCCCCAACCTTGTTCACACTCAACAGCTCCAGGTCCTGCGCGTTGCGCACCTCTCGCAAACGGAACGCATCGCTTGTCAAGCTGTCGCACAGCACCCGCACAGAGGGCGTGTCCTCAACCTCCACACAACCACTACACGTGTTCAGGAAGAGGGATGCCCGCGCTTGCAGCACCGTGACGCGCGCTTGCGCAACCGCATCCACGTCACTGTCACTGTCACCATCACCGTCACTGTCACCATCACCCGCGCCCGGTGTTGAGCCGCAGGGAAACGCCACACGAAACAGCGACACATGCTGGATGTACCGGAGGGCGTCCGTGTTCAATAGCCGTATCATTGCGCGGGCCGTCACGCCAACATCCAGGGAAGACAGGTTGATCAGCGGGCTCAGGTCCAGGCCGTGCTTGTTGACCCTCGTGGCAACGATGCGAACATCGCGCCGCACGCCCTGCAGGTGCGGGAGCACGCTCGCTGCACGCACATCCTCCGTCAAAGCCACCTCCACACTCGCCACATCACCAGGCACTGACGCCGCCGTAATGGCAGGCACGTCCACATTGTCCGGGCGCCAGTGCTTGGTCACATGCGGCGCCAACAGCGGCGTGTGCAGCGTCCGTGCGTCGTTGCTGGTGAAGGTCACCGTCATCCAGTCGGCTCGTGACGCCAGCAGCTCCAACACTTCCGCCGGCCATTCCCCGGCCAGCCTCACGTCGCGCACGTGCGCCAGCTCTGGTAGCCGTAGCACCGGTAAGCCCTCGCTCGCTGTCACGCGCAGGGAATGGAGTCTGGCGTCAGGCGCTCCAAGGTCGAAGCCAGTCACGTTGGGGCAGTCCTCAACCCGCACCTCCTTTGCCTTGGGGAGGCTGATGTCGCCATGCAGGTTCCAGATGCACCTCAAGTCCACGTGCCGAGCGTTGAATACCGGCGCATGCCAGCCACCGTCAGGGAGGGTGATTTGGCGCAGCACAAGCGTGTGCAGGGCCCTGTTCTGTGCAAGCGCAGGCGCGTTGCTCATCACGCACCGCTGCAGCGTCAGGTGCCGAATCTTGCTTCCTTTCTTGGTCAGGGCGCTCGCATCCACCGTGTTGCACATCTCCACCATGGTCACGTGCCGGGCATCATGCAGCAGCTTCCAACTGCTGGTGCCATGCCGCAGCACCACCTGCTTGACCTTGCTCAGGGACCCGCGGCTGAAGTGCCTGTGTCGCGCTGCGTTCACATGCAGCGTATCGATGTGCTGCAGCTTGTAGGTGGCTTTCCTGTTGGGTCTGAGGACCACGCGAGGCACGCCGCGGATGCCCACCTTCTTCACGGCGTTGCCAACCTTCACGTTCACCGCAAACGCCCTGCCCTGGTGCTGATCCAGAAGCGCCCGCAGCGCCCGTGCCTCTTCGTCAGTGCGCAAGTGAGCCACCACAATGAACTGTGCCGGCGTCAGCTCGCGCGCCACAGGCCCGAGGAGCGCGAACGCGTTCGCCATGAGCACATGCATGGGTGGCATATTGGCCTCGTTACGTCTCACACGACCAGCGCGGTATGGACGGCGTTGCTGCTGCCGTCGCTGCTGCCGTTGCTGCTGTTGCTGTTGCTGTTGCTGTTGCTTTTGCTGTTGTGTATGTTGTCTTTCAGCATGCACCTGCTGTGGGTGGTGGGTGCGGGTTTGCTGTAACTGATGTGGACGAGCGTGCAGGTGCAGGTTTTCCTGCTGCCGCGTCCAGTCGCGAATGTCCGCAAGCTCACTCGTTGCCCGCAGTCGCTGGTCCCTGTCTTGAAGGATTTGCCGCAGTTGCCGTCGTATCTGCCAAAGAGGTGCTGGCGAAAACCTCTGTCGCGAAAATGGTGGCACCTGCTCTTCTTCTCCTTGCTGCTGCGGCTGCTGCTGCTGCTGCTGCTGCCTTTCTCTTTCTTGTTCTGGGCCATGCTGTGACTGCACATGATGCTGCGTCTCTGTGCGTTGTTCCTGTGGCTCTTGCATCCAGTTCAGGTCTGGCGGAACCTGCAGCTCCTCGCGTCGCACTGTGTGCAGCTCGTCTTGTGCTGGCGGTTGCAGTTGGAGTTGGAATGACGGTTGCAGTTGGAATGGCGCATGCCGGGCGTGCTGCACATGCGCTTCGTGCTGTTGACGCTGCCGGTACTGGTCTGACTGGTGGTGCCGGCGAGCGGCTGAGCCGCTGTTGCCCACTTGAACCAGCGCTCTTTGCTCCACTGCGAAGGGGCCCGTGAAGTCAAAGCACACCCGCACACTTGCACAGAACTGCCGCGGATCAAAAGCGGCAGCCGCATCAAACATGCGACACCGTGCCGACCACCATGCCCCGAGCCACGAATGCACCAAGAACCGTTCTACAAGCCACGTCACTCTCCTGGGCCCGAGTTCCTTGTCATCCTCATCGGCACTTGCATCTGCTGCACGTGGGATAGACTGCAGCTGATGTTGCTGGGAATGCGTGGCTTGCTGTGGAGTTGTCCTGTGGTGTAGCCTCCTGATGTACGCCAGGGTCTTCGTGATGGCATCGTCCTTGGTGGCATCCCCCTCGTCACCGTTAATGCAGTCGACGCAGTCGGTCAGCCACAACAGCCCACGCGGACCACGGTCAACGTCTTCGGCGGTGGCGTCGGCGTCATCATCATCATCATCATCATCACCACCATCACCACCATCACCACCGCCACCGCCACCGCCATCGTCGTCGTCGTCGTCGTCGTCGTCGCCGTCACTGTCACGCGAGTAGCTGACGTCACCCGTTCGTCCTGATCCAGAGGTGTACAGGATGTCCACGGTTTCCCCACGTAGGTATGCGCCTTCCAAACACCATTTTGGAAGCTGTTGTGGCAGGGTTGTGTACAGCTCTCTGCATGTCAACATGAGGTGGAACAGCGACCGAGGCTCCTCAATCAGGTGCACCGCGACCAATGCCAACGCGCCTTTAGACAGGGCGCGTTCTTCAGCAGCTGCATCTTCGCCACTTGCGCCATCATGTCCCACGTCCATGCGCACGTCTTCTGCTTCTGCTTCTGCTTCTTCTTCGCGCGGCTGCTGGTTCACCTGGTCTGTCGCGTCCTCTTGTTCTGGTAGAACCATATCGACTGACCAGGAGGGCAGAGCAACGAGATGAAGGGGGAGGGGGGGGGTTTGCTGTCGTATCTGCTTCGGTCGTTGTTGTTGCTGCCGCTCCTGTTGCTGTGATGATTGCGGGGAAGGAAAAAATGGTGTGAGCCATGCTGGTGCAGCAGATACGCACAGGTCTCGTGACAGATTGAGCTTCTGTTGGTATCTTATTTGCTGGGCGTGCTGCGGTCCCAGCCCACCCACAACAACACTAACACCAACATCAGCAACGACAAACACCAGCGAGGTGAACACATACCGGTTGTTCGTCAGTGTGTGTGTGTGTGTGTGTGTGTGTGTGTGTGTGTGTGTGTGTGTGTGTGTGCGCGCGCTTCTTGCGCTTATGGTTTGTGATGCGAGAACATGTGTTCAAGCCTTGGAATGCGCCAAGGGAGATGCCTGGGTGCTGTGAGGAGTGGTGCCATGATGTGCTTCATTCAGGCGTTCTGTTCAGTGTCGAGATGTGATCAAAGGAGGGTCGCATCATCATCATCATATCATCATCATCACTGGGGCAGGCAATGTTGATCAAAGGGATTTGTTCAGGGGTTTGGTTGTTCAGGTCTTTGTTCAACAGCAAAACCAAGAGAATGCTGACGTCAGCAAAGGACTCTGGGAGGACCATTGCATGAGATGCATAAGGGTGCGGGGTTGCGTTTAGTTAGGTAGGGGTTAAGGTGTAGGGATTTCTGCACTTGGTGTCTTGGTGTGTGTGCGCGCTTACATGTTTGTGTGTGTGTGTGTGTGTGTGTCTGTATCTGTGTGTGTGTGTGTGTCTGTGTGTGTGTTACATGCTGTTGTTATCGCAAGTTGTGCAAACAGAAGGCTTCGCTCTCTGGCTGTACGTTCACTTCTGGATTGGTTGATGGTGACGACCAGTTCGATTACTGGTGAGCAGATTCATTCGCTCAAACAAGCACACACATACACGCTCACACGCACAAGCATACGCACAGCACACGCACGCACACACTCATACACTCACACACACAAGCACACGCACAGCACTCGCACACACACACGTACGCACTCACTCACTAACACACACTCTCTCTCACCAACTCACTCTCGCACGCACACACACTCTGTCACACCACACCACACAACACCACACCATTGCACCACAAACCTCCAAATCCTCATGTCACAACATCATCACTTGTGCATGGAATTCACCGGCTTTCGTCCTTTCAGCTTCCGCTTCAACCTCCCTTTCCTCTCCTCACGCCTACTGAGCTGAGTGGCTGCTCCATCTGGTGCCCCGCCCATCCTGGTGGCCAGGCTTGTGAGCGTGTCAAGATACACAGCCGCGCTCACCGGGTCCATGCTCAGATCCGTGCTCGGATCCGTGCTCGGCGCTGTGTTCGGGTCCGCGTAAAGCCTGTCGCTGGCGGACAGCACTTCGACCATCTTCCTGAGAAGGGTGGGAAGGTCATATTCCGGACGACAGCAGTGCAGGTCCTTCAGGATTTGGGTGACCGTTCTGCAATCAGCCTGGTCCATCAACGTCCGGATGAGCTGACCCAGGGTCCGCAGGGTGTCCTCTGCCAACAGTGCGTTGTGCTTGTGCGCCAGTTCAAAGCACACGTCGATCCCGCGATGCTCCACGAACAGCCTTGCGTTGGAGGGGGTGACAGGTGCTGGTGGAGGCATGAGCGCCAGAACCCGCACTGTGCGAAACACGTTGTTTCGCCACTCGGCATTTTGGGCCAGGGCCATCAGCGCCACAAACGTCCCAAACGAGACCGTCATCGGGAAGATGCTCCTCTTCACATGCGTGAAGTGTGCACAAATTCGTACCAGCTCGTATGCCGCCAAAGTGAACACCAGTGTCGATGCGAGCTTGGGGTTCGTCGGGACTGGCTCAACAAGAGCAGCGGTGAGGTCCAACACGGGCAAGACCACAGCGCATAAGAGCTGGTCAAGAGCGTCCACACCGAGCTCCTGCAAAGTGGGTAGGGCGGCGGCTTTCACGGCGTCCGACGCGTGCATGGCGTTCAGGGTGTACAAGGCACTTTCGACCAGCTGGAGCGAATCACGGCAGCTTACACGCTGCCGGGCCAATCGGATCAAGGACAGCATCGTCGCCACACCGCGACTGTCAACAATGTCCTGACAGACGCCGTTTTGATGCTGGACCATGAGTAGGAGCAGATCCATTGCCGCACAACACGTCTTCAGTTTGCCATCTTGCTGGAGCGTGCAGCGTATCAGCTTCAGCAGCACAGCAGCGCCTCGTTTCTGCCGCAGAGATATCACCGCGCCCGCGTGGAGCCGCAGCACCAGATCAAGACATTTCAGCACCAACAGCTGGCACTGTGCAGAGTGTCCGCTCAAATGCACTGCGTGAACAAGCTTTGACACCACCCAGTCTGTATCGACCGCTGTCGGTATCCGCTTCTTGTCTCTGCCAGTCACTTCAAGCGCCACCATCACGCCATGCGTCTGCTTCATGGGCTCGCCGCTCTCATCAAGCAGGGCCTCCCGTGTCGTCGTGCTCAGCGTCAACAGCAAGCCTGCGATTCTGAGTCTCAGCACTTGCCAGGAGATGTCGAACACCATGTCATCCAACTCTTCGGTCCCAGAGGTGCCAGGCCCATGCGTAGCAACGATTTGTTCAACAGCTCTCACACAGCAGAGCACACTCTCGGCGTTGGGCACTTCCTTCAACAGCAAGTCCTTGAGCGTCAGCCAAATCAGCACCCGCAGCTGGACTGGGTTTGTGTCGTCAGAGAGCTCCGCACAGAGCCAGGGCCAGTACGCAGGTCTGGGAACATTGAACGGCAGGGTCCAGCGCGACGTGACATTGATTCGGATGAGAAGAAGCGCGCACAGCGTATCCCGCTTCGTTGTGTCGTACACCTCGGGTGTCTCGGCGTATGCCACAATGGCTGCTGTCACAAGCCTCACTTGATTTGGGGACAGCGCCGCCACAAAGGAGTCGGCCCAGGTGCGCAGGTTCGGGCACCTTTCGTCGTGCACAGGCAGCTGAGCAATGTGCGACAGCAACCGCAGTGTTTCGAGGGTGTCTGCAAGTGTGTGAGGCTGAAGTGCCAAACGTTGCAGCAAAAAGGCGGGGCAGGCAGCAGTCAACACCTGTGGGGGCACGAGTTTGTGCTTCTCTGCCATTTGCATGAAGCTGAAGGCAAGTTTCAGCAAGGCGCGGCTGTTGTTGTTGCTGCTGCTGCTGTTGTTGTTGTTGCCGCTGTTGTTGTTGTTGCCGCTGCTGCTGCCGCTGTTGTTGTTGCTGTTGTTGTTGCTGTTGTTGTTGTTGTTGTTGTTGTTGTTGTTGTTGTTGTTGTTGTTGTTGTTGTTGTTGTTGTTACCGTTGTAGTGTGAAAGAGCCTTGTCCCTCAAGACTGTCAGCATGGTGTGAGGGTCCTGGAAGCACACGCGCAGAAGGTCGGTCGACATGTGCTCCGAAACGGTACGAACAAGCACAGCAGCTACCCACACCACAGCGGGGTTGTCTCCAAAGTTCGCGAACGCGTCAAGGACAGTCTGGGACATGCGACACGACTCAGCAATGTCTTTGCTGATGAGGGCGTTGGGCAGTTTGAAACATGCGACCATTACTCCAAAGGCGGAATAGACAAGTGCAGGGCTGTTGTTGCTTGGACGACGAATGAGGGCGAACACATCGGGGAACATGTTGACAGGCAGTGTCTTTGCAGTCAGTGTTCGCCGCTGAATCGCGGTCTGCAGCAACCAGCAGCCGTCAATCTGTTCGTCGATCGACTGTGCTGCCAGCCTTCTTGAAATGTCCAGGCGGATGACATCGGGAGAGTCATCAGCAACGACGCTCATCTTGCTTGAAGCTTGTATCAAGCGACACACCAGAGCCCCAGTAACGGTGTCAGTGCCGGTGGGGGGACATGGCCCATACCACCGATTATAGTATTGCCTGCGTATCTGTTGATACACTTGCTGTAGGACCACTGGCTGTTGTGGCACTGGTTGTCGTGGTGCTGTGTCTTGGGGCGCTGGGTGTTGGACCACTGGCTGTTGTGGCAGTGGTTGTCGTGGTACTGTGTCTTGGGGCACTGGGTGTTGGACCACTGGCTGTT